CCCAGGAGCATGCGACTTTATTGAACCGCCTTGAGCTCTATCAGCTGCGTGCTGTACCACAAATACGGTATGTTGTTAGCCCCGGTGACGGCGGCGATTATCACGGCAGAGCATTGCCAATTTAAGGAGGGGAAAAATAATAATAATAGTATAGATGGATACTTACACGAGGAGCCCCAAACCCCAGGGAGGAGACCCCAACGTTGGGGAAACCCCAGGGAGGAGACCACCCACCCCAACTGAGCTGAAGTTCTCCTACAGTCACCAGGCAGAATAACCCTAAGAAGAGAGGCGCCGGTACAAAAGGTGGTGTCACCAACATGAAAGTATCACGCTTGAACCAGACTCTACTCTTGTTGGTTGCAGGTTTAACTGCTGTCGTGGCTATCTCATGGTTATATACACGACACAGGATCCCGGGAGAAACCCCCGCAATTAGAGGTCAACCCAAATATCATGCAATAAAATATGTATTTTTATATCATATACATAATGTCTGAGGGGAAAACGTTCGTCAACGACGCATACCACGCCACCGTGGTCGCCAGTCTAGCCGTAGGGTACGCTCGGTTGACCAAAATGCGAAAGCAAATAATCAATACGTGAAGGGCTACGACCCGAGCAAGCCAATCAATCATATTCTCTACCTCGATGCCAACAACCTGTACGGCTGGGCCATGAGCCAGTATCTACCCACAGGGGGATTCGAATGGGCATCGCACGAGGTCGATAATCGTGAGCATCGCACCAGATTCGAGCAAAGGTTATATCCTCGAGGTCGACTTGGAATACCCGAAGAGCCATTATTAATATCACACAACAAAATATTTCTGGCCCCCTGAACGTATGAGGGTTAACCCAGACTGGATGTCTGAGTACCAACATAACTTCTGTTAGGTGGGCGGGTGGTAGACGTTGAAAACTCGTGCCCAACTTAATGAATAGGACCAAGTAACATCGTTCACTATCGCAACCCACAGCCAAAACCTGTCGTTGGGTATGAGGCTGACCAAAATAGACAGGGTGCTCGTGTTCAACCAGAGCCCCTGGATGGAGCCTACATCAGAATGAACACAGACCTCCGAAAGCTTGCCACCAGTGCCTTTGAGAAAACCTCTACAAGCTCATGAACAACTCGGTGTTTGGTAAGACTATGGAGAACCTGAGGAAAAGCGTGACTTCGTGAAGCTGGTACGCTCGAATGAGGAAGACAAGCTCAGGAGACTGATAGCCAGCCCGGCATTCAACCGTAGCAAGATATTCACCGACGACCTGGTTGCCCTACACATGAAGAAAAGCCACATAAAATTCAACCGGCCTGTTTACGGGGATGAGCATCCCTCGATTTATCCAAAACACCTGATGTACGACTTTACTACAATGAGCTGAAGAAACAGTATGACGACAGGTGTGAAGTGATGTACACTGACACGGATTCCTGCCGATGGAGATTCGAACCGAGGACGTGTACGAGGACATGAAAAACGCCTCGATTTGTATGACACCAGCGACTCACCCCAAGGACCATGCCATACACAGCACCTTGTAAACAGAAAGGTCCTAGGGCAAGATGAAGGACGAGGTGTGCTCGCACGCCCATAGCCGAGTACATAGGCTTGAGGCCCAAGATGTACTCCATCCCGAAGGCCGACAATGGTGAGATTCGAAGGCGAAGGGTGTTAAGACAGCTACGTGGTGAAACAACACATCAAACACGCCAGATCCAAGGAAGCCCTGTTCAAGACCCGTACCTTTAGACATAAAAATGAACACACTTAGAAGTGATGGGCATAGGATATACAGACTGATCCATAAACAAGACGTCCCTGTCGCCGATGGACACCAAACGTTGGATAGCCATTGATCGATAAACACTGCACGAGCACGGGCATGAGAAAATTGAACCAAGAACATAGGGTGTATATAGGTGACATGTCACGGAACCAAAGAAAGCTCCTGAGGCCATTCCCACCGTCCGCGTGGGCACTGGAAAAAGCTAGTGCTGCACATAAGCTGGCCAAAATGGCGAGCACCGAGGAGGCAAAAGCCGCCGGGCTGGAAAACAAGCCCTGTGGCAGATCCATTTCACCGGCCAACCACGCCACGTGCCCAGAAGGAAATCCGGCACAAACGACAACCCACAGCGTCTCACCAGGCAGGCCTTGGGGTGGGCAGGTGCATGCAGTGCAGGGCAGGCGTGTGGGGCAGGGCAGGCGTGCGTGGCAGTGGCAGGCAGGTGGGCAGGCAGGCGTGGGGTGGCAGGCAGGCGTGTGGGCAGGCAGGTGTGGGGCAGGGCAGGGGGCAGGGCAGGCGTGGCAGGTGTGGTGCAGTGTGGGCATGGGGTGGCAGGTGCAGGTGTGGCAGGCGTGAAAAAAGGTAGAAACACATGAACGACCACAGAAAGAGACGGCAGGTGAGAGGAAAATGGATGCAGATAGACATGTGAAAACTCTGACCAGGAAGACATAATGTGGATGAGCCGAGTGGATGGAATGGAATGGAGCCCATATGAAATGTAATGAATGGATGGACACGGAAAGAAATGGAGTGATCCCGAGAAGACGACAGCCAACACCACGACTGAACGACCGGACCAGGAAGGTAAAATCAGGAAAACATGAATGACAAAATCAGGAACACACACAGAAGATGAGAAGAACCAAGCACAGGGTGGATAGATAAGGAAGAACACACACACAGCAGAGGAAGGTAGACAGGTAATGAAAAGGACTGCATGAGCAACCAAGGATGTGGCCAAAAGATACACACAGGAATAGAAACGGAGGAGAACGGAACAGAATGCCCAAGTGGAATATACACAGGAAGAAAACCACACAGAAGCCTAACATAAAAATGATAGGTAATATCTCAGGAAAGCCCCACAAATTAGCAGAAAAGACGGGGTGGAGAGCCCTGGATGGAAAATATAGATAGTGGACAGAAACGGAATAATGAAAAGGACATATATGGAAACTTTTAGGTGGTGGAATGAAACGAACAGGAATGAACGGAAGAGGAAGGAATGAGTGAATGGAGTGTATGGTGGATTTGAGACAGCACAGCTTAATGGAGAATAAATGGATGGAAGAGGAGGAGGTAGCATGAAAAGGAATGAAGAATGAGAAAGGTAGAGTAACGGAACATGGGAAAAGAAGAAAGAAATATTTTAGGGTGGATGGATAAATAAAGATGAGACAGACCCCACTTAGGACTAAGCAGTGGACAGCAATAGCACAGAAGAAAGAATAACAGTAGGTAGAGAAAGTATAGGACCTAGAAAGCATAGACATAACACTTATTTGTAAATGACATGAAAGGATGAAAGGTGGTAATAGATGTAGAGATGGATAACTTTATGGATGTATCTAGTGGAATCAGTGGATGGATGGAGGATGAAAGCCAGTGAATAAACACAGTGGACACAGAAGTAGTAGATGGATGAAAGGGTGGATGCAGTAATGGACGGAATGGACATGTATAAATAGATGGACATGTGGAATAACGGACCGAAGATCTGGGGAATAAATTTATGCTTGTCGTAAGAGACGACCAACGCGATCGCGATCGAGCTCGCTGACTTGGTTGACACATGTCATAGTATCCCAAATGCGTAGGACGAGTTACTCGCGATGTTGGATCACTGGATTGTCTGTTCCAGATTCGATTATTTACAGACCGCCGCCATATAGCTGGAATATTTCTGAGTGCGGCGTAAAATAAAACGCACTCACCTACCGTTAAACAAATACAAAGATTTATCTTACACATTTTGAGATATTTAAAAGGATGTATATTTAGAAGTTGCTGTCGATCTAACTTTATGACTCAAAGGAAGGAAATATGCAGTCTCTGCATCCATTCCAACTGTAATGTATTCAACCCTGTTGCGAATAATTACTGCACCCGTACATTTCAGATGCCGTTTGGACTAAAACTGTATATATATCGCATTTAACTAGCTCTGCCACCTATATGCGATAATGGGATTCGTCAGATGGTTTTGAACTGCGACACACTTTTGATAGTCAGGACGAATATGTTTCGATCACTGTGCCCTGGGCTATCAATGAGCACTACAAAAATACTGTAATTTCGCGCAGCAATCACGACGCGAGGAAATGAGATGTAGTGATGTGGGTTGATCCAGCGTTGAAAAATTCAAATTCGAACCGTGCATTTGGCAGTCGTGTTGGACTTCTATACTGAAATACACGTTGGTATCCTTAAAAACAAAATGACGTCCGAATAGGGAGCGCAACAGACGCCACATCTACCATTGGTCTGTATAACGGCAGGAAAAACGCCTGTTCATTTACGCTACACACTGTCCATGCCTTCTTAAGTAAAGTCCAGAGTAAACCTGGATTCGATGGAAAACATAAGAGTTGCAAAACCACGATTGGCCCAGTGTTACTGCTCTTTGACATCAACGATGTCTTCCAGGTAATGGCAACACGTGGACGTCGGGTACAGGTTCCATCTATGCTGCCGGGATTACGAATCGCCTGTTCACTCACTCTAATCCTCGTAGCTCTGGGTCAAGGTAATCACCTCAATTTGAAGGGACCTTTGGCACAGTTCCGGTAACGTAAGATGAAAGAGTCTTGTGCGCCAATTGTCGTTCTTGGTCGACTAGATCGCATTCCTCTGTCATCAACGTTTTACGTCAAGAGGTCGTTCCACAATCAACTGTGTTGTTCCGGACATCCAACATGCTGATTGCATCACGTTCCTTAACGTGACAGAAGCCGCATGTGAAACGAGCTGCACAAAGGCCGAAAAATGTTTAATTAAGATTTGTGGTTCCATTGCAGCTGAACCCTTGACACCAACCATAACACCGTCTCCTCCAACTAGCACTGGCTACACGGAAGGACAACAGGTTGAGTTCCGGTGCCAGGGAGCTGTTGGAAAACCTGCCGGAGACTTCCTGTGGTTCCGGTACCATGGCAACACCCTTTACGGACATTACCAGTCTGGCCAGACTAAATGCTCCTATCCGAGTTCGGGAACTTGCACCTCTGAACGAATAAGTCAGCTCACACTGACTGTCAGCAGACTGGACAATGGGATGATCATCCGATGTGCTGCAAACCACTCTACAATCACAACGCCTACGGATCCGACAAATGCAACCTACATGTTGGCAAACTGACACCATCACAGTTTTCTGTAAGCAAATATATCAAGAAGGGGATCTGTTTATTATACTTCACCAAGTAATGTATGTGACTCGAGATCTCCTGACAAGTTCAATGTGTTTTAACTGTTGTTTTTGAAACCACCCAGCTGGCGTGCTTTTGATAAGACTTCGTTCTGTGAATGTTAATTTAAAAACGAATAAAAACGAATGTGAGTGGGTGGGTGGGTATTCAGGCTCGCTGAATTTGTTGATTCAGTCTTTGCATCCCAATTGTTTAGATCTATGTTTATACTGTTGATCACTAGATTGTCTGGTCCAGACTCAATTATTTGCAGCCAATACAGCTTGATTATTGCTAACAGAGGCGTGAAACAGCAAACAAATTGTTGAAGCTCCATACATCGATGTCGTCCAGTGTTTAGGCAGTTTATGCTTCCAGATACGTTCAGTGACAGTGACCCCGATGTCAGCTCCAACCCATCAGGGGACACACACACCGTCGGCGACACCGTCAGCCTGAAGTGTAACGCTGTTACCAACCCACCAGCGACCTACACCTGGCAGAAAGAAGGAGAGGATAATTCCACATCACCTGGCGATGAATTGAGACTTTCTAATATACAAATTGAAGATTCTGGAACATACACATGTTTGGCCACCAATGTTGTTGGGGGTGTGACGTACGCTGCATCAAAGTCCCTCAACATCAATGTTGGTGAGTACAGACTGCTGGTTTTGTTGTACATTTGATATCAGTTCTGAAGCAAGTACTCACTTAAGGACCTTTCTGGAAGATCCTGATTATTCTGGACAAAGTGATATTCTTATTAATTAGACAGACAATTGTGCCTAGGTTGGAGAAGGTTGTGGTATATTACAGTATATGACAGAACCCTTTTGAATATTGTTGCTTCCACAGCACTGTAGACGTCTGAATCATAATATCGAGGTACTCATCCTTAATAGTTTTGTGTATGTACTTTGCTTGTACTGTGGTCAATAGTATTAATCAGGATCAATCTGGGACTGCAGATTTGAGCCCTGATTTCGAAACGTGACATTTTTCATGTTCGAAGTTTATTACTTGCTGAAGTAAGTAAATCACTTATTTATTTACAAATGCACATGAGATTGTAGCAGCCGAGGCTTTAAAGTGCTATATAGCAGGATGAATAAGGTACTGATATTGCAGATATATCTGAAGTTGTTGTAGGAATGACTTGTATATCTTTGCACGAGCATGATCATCTAACTGTGACTGAACTAATGCATGTATTCCTCTCTGTCTGTCTCTCTCTTCACCAACATCTGCAGTTGCTACAACCACATCCCCTCCCACTACAACCGCTACGAGTACACAAAGACCTTCTCCTGGAAATACTGACGCTGTTAAACCAGAACCTCCAGGTATGTTGACCTGTTAACTGTAGTCATGTGTCAGTCACATGTCTGTCATGTCTCTTCATGTCAGGTCTGTCATGTGATGAGCTGTGACGATATACTTCTGTCATGTGACATTATATCTATCATATGATGTGCTGTAACTACACATCCGTCATGCGATGGGCTGTGACGATATACTTCTGTCATGTAACATTATATCTATCATATGATGTGCTGTAACTACACATCCGTCATGCGATGTGCTGTGACTATACTGTTTTCTATAATTACGATTGTACTATGAGTGTGACTCTGTCGTGTACTGTGACCTGTTTGTGGTCACAACTAAATCGTTAATTAAAAGAAGTTTTACATCTTTGCACGGGCACGATCATATTTCGGTTATGTTTTATTTTAACTTCGTATGCTTTATTTTGTTATGCGTTGAACTTATTATCAAAACATAAATGTTGGACTTTCAAATTCTATTTCAGATTCAGCTTCATGATGCAATATATTGCTTATGTTATTTACATGTTTACATTAAATTTCAGTTCTCATGACATCTTTCGTTCAATCATCCCATCCACAGGAAACTATTTCCACTCCGAAAATATCATTTCATTCGCAATTTTTCACCCAGTCACCCATTCCAGTGAGAAATGAAAATCTCACAACTGCGAACATAGTGATGGCACAGTCACAGTTATAACCTCTTGATACCAAGATTTAGTTGTGTATTTCCGTATAACCTTGGACCCGTGAAGATCCGGGGTAGAATAGTTCTATGGCAACCCATGCTTGCCACAAAGGCGAATATGCTTGTCATCGGTTCCCAATTGCGCAGATCGATGCTCATGATGTTGATCACTGGATTGTCTGGTCCAGGCTCGATTATTCACAGACCGCCGCTATGTAGTTGGAATATTGCTGAGTGCGGCCTAAAACTAAACCCACTCACTCACTCACCCCTGTAACCTTGCATGTACTTCTGTTACCTATTATTATTGTCAACAATATACACCATCTACTGTTTGTGTCAGTTTTTGTTTCCTTTACAGTAGTTCACTGTACATAATGTATGTCATTTTATATGACCGTTTCTTGTTCTCAGTAACAAGCAGTTAAAACTTCAAACAATCATGGTAACATTGCTTTGATGTCTAATGTTTTGTAGATGACAGCGCTGGAAGGAGAACATTTGCTGCACAGCCTTGGTGTGTGTGACGTGTTTTATGCTGTCAGATACGCTCAGTGACACTGACGCCGTTGTCAGCTCCAACCTTGCAGGAGGCACACACACCTGAATTACACCTGTAGGATTTAACCTTCACGTTTGTCATTTCTACTGTAGTTGAAAATTGTTCCATATTTATCTTAGATTTCCCACAGCATTTTTGCTTTTGAGTTTATTTATTTGAATAAAGAAGAAATCACATAAAAAATAAGTACAGAATGGGTGTACAAATCAGGATGTGAAATATTCTCCATGACATTGTTGTAAAGTAAAAGCTGACAAGCTAACAGAAGTAATGTCTCATTTTCAATTGCATTCATGGGTAACCCTATGTCTTGTAATTACCATGTACATTAGGGTTTTAAAATGTTTTCCAGATACATTTACATGAACATTGGAATAGAACCTGTTTCATCGGATAATCGAGGACTGGTTATTCTCATCGTTGACACTGTATAATTTATATCAGATTTGAGTGGCTTCTATAAATGATGGCATATAGTGCTAAAAGGAAAGTATACACTATGTTTGACCAAACTTGAAAGGAAATACAATAAAAGCATATATAAACATCTGTTTAATTTCAATAGAGCATTTATTGTATAAATAAACACTGATGTCATTTCGAAACAATGCGGAAAGTGATACCGTTTACGGCTGACAGTGAAAGACACGTGGTATCATAGTCTGAACTTTTGCACCAATCAACAGAGATTTTGTCTGCACAATGTCATCAAATGTCGAATCAATAGTGAGTGTGACCACCATTGGCTTCAATACACGCCCAATACATTGATGACGAAAGACGACGAATGACGTCTGGCGTGATCCGTTGACATTCCTGTGAGAGACATTCTTTCAGTTGTTGAACGGTGACAGGTGTCGTGAAGACTTCTGATTTGTCGATACAGGTAGTCCCATATTTGTTCTTTCGGATTCACGTCGGAAGAACATGATGGTCATGACAAAACAATGATGTTAACGTTAACGTTAGGGAGAATAAATGGCAACCACAACGTCGCCAAAACTTCATCCCTGAATCTGCGAGAATTCAGGTTGCCATGAATAATCACAAGTCTCGCTTTGATCATCGCCGCAGATCTCTACCCACACCATCACGCTTCCGGCTCCGAGCGGTCAGACGTGCTGAAAGCAATTCACACGTTCACCTACCCCTCTGTAAACACAGGCGGGCGTCATCACTGTACAGTCAAAACCTATTCTCGTCGGTGAACATCGCACACGTCGCCAATCACGCATCGGCCAATGTCGAACTCACCTGGCCGTAATGTCAGTCGACGACGTCAGTTTTGAAGAGTCAGATGCACTCCGCGGTAAGGTCCGGCGTAGCGCGAGTACCACGTTCTCATGATCGCCGGTACGTATGTCGACTGATACGGTGTCCATTGACGTCGCTGCCGTTGACGTCGTCGTAGCAAATCATTTCTCAGATGAATTGTCTGGATGTGGCGATCATCACTCCTAGACCTGGCTGAGGTACTGCCTGTTTGTCTGATGACAGTTGCTCCGGTGCAGCCGAAGATACTGGCAATGACGGTGTGGTTAGCTCCTTGCTGGGCCATTCCGACAGCTCTCTCTCTCTTTCAGATTGCCTCAAACGTTGCATATTATTCTTTATTGTTCATTTTACAAGCTGTGTTGCTTACGTGCCGCGTAGCCTGTTTTATACCAGAAAAACTCGTTTTGGAATTTTTCCGACGTTTAGGCGATTTGTTAACTTGTTTCGCTGTTTGTCCCAGGAAAGGATGTGTCTGTACGTGTGTTCCCGGAGAGGATGTGTCGGTACGTGTGTTCCCGGAAAGGATGAGTCTGTACGTGTGTTCCCGGAAAGGATGTGTCTGTACGTGTGTTCCCGGAAAGGATGTGTCTGTACGTGTGTTCCCGGAAAGGATGTGTCTGTACGTGTGTTCCAGGAAAGGATGTGTCTGTACGTGTGTTCCCGGAAAGAATGTGTCTGTACGTGTGTTCCCGGAAAGGATGTGTCTGTACGTGTGTTCCAGGAAAGGATGTGTCTGTACGTGTGTTCCCGGAAAGGATGTGTCTGTACGTGTGTTCCGGGAAAGGATGGAGTCTGTACGTGTGTTCCAGGAAAGGATGTGTCTGTACGTGTGTTCCCGGAAAGGATGTGTCTGTACGTGTGTGTGTTCCAGGAAAGGATGTGTCTGGACGTGTGTCCCAGGAAAGGAAGAGTCTGTACGTGTGTTCCGAGGTAAGGATGTGTCTGTACGTGAGTCACATAGCTCAGTATGGTTTTATCCTTGATTTCTATTTTGTGATTTTTTATTCAACCTTTTGTGGTTCATAGTTTCTTTTGAACACTAGTTTAATATATTAACAGTGAATGTTATGTAATCTTTTGTGGTGTATAGCTTTTGAGCACTAGTTTCTATTAGCAATATATCCACAACACACTTCTTAAAAGTAGTTTATGTTTTGAATTTAATGCACCGTCGTCAACTGATAATGATTATTGTGAGGGCGTGTGTATATTGCATCCAGTCATTTGTTAGTGAGTGAGGGTGTTTAGTTTTACGCCACGTTTTGCTTTTGCAACATTCCAGGATTTGTCAGAGCGCGGGGACACCAGAAATGTGGCATGTTGTTCCATATTAAGTGAAAAAACCTTAAGATTCAAGTTATTTCTTTCGAGACAATACTGTAGTGGTAGTTGTGTGTGTCATCTTTGGATTGTTGCTGATCGCTGGGACTGTGATTGGTGTGGTCATATGAAGGAGAAGATGGAGCAGGAAGACCCCCGAAGGCACAGTGCAAAAACTTATTTCATCATTTCTTTCCTCAGAGAACACAATACTTTCCACACATGAAGAGAAATCAAGAAGGTTTAAAGAGACACTTTCAGCACATTTTGAGCATTTTCAAATATAAATGCTTACACTTTACTGAGGTATTTTATCAGGTCGTGTGTGTTAGAACAGAAAGGTTTTATGATAATGGCGGTGTGTGGCCTTGTGTAAAAAGGCTCAAGTCCGAAATCAGTTAAGAAACAACGTTGGTCACGGAGATTCCTTTGGTAGGGTGACTGTGTCGGCAGACTGACTTCTGAGAATTTCTAGGGCTTCTGTCCTATGCCCACAACGAATTTCCGAAGCACGCACGTAACACGTCTCCCTCCCTAGTCATGTAAATTTCTTCATAAATTGCTTCTGTTCAGCGGTAGAGAAATGGGCACCCTGTGGGACAAGTCATATGTCTGTTAGCATTAACCGGGTAATAATGTGTGTTAACGCCTCGGGCGTGCAATTCAGTCCTGCCCACAGCAGAAGCACATATGTGCCACATGTGGTCTCACCTTAGGCATGCGAGTTTTTCCAAATTACATCTGTTCCACACAGCAGTTATTGCGTACCCAGCAGGATAAGTCCATATGGCACCTCACAGGGTTATCCGAAGTAATAATGTCCATTAAGTTTCATGCGCTTAGAGCATGCCTGTGCGGCGGCGAATTCAGCGCCATACATGTGGACCTATTATGATAAGTCAATCTACTTCATCAGAAATAAATAATTAATACATATTATACAGCTTTTGTACAGTATTTATTTATCAAATACAGTACTAATGTGTCAATATGAAACAAGTGCTTGATGAAAGGCCCTAAACAACACTGCGCAAACACGGGGCGAGTGTCCCGTGATGATATGGAGTCATAAGGAACGACACTCCAGACAGGGGACGATGTACGTCTCAGTCAAAAGGTACATATTTGTTGTAAAGCGCTTAGCACCCTATAGTGTTCTTAGGAATTATTGAGAAAGTTGTTTCGACAAATATCTAATACATGTGGTATAAAGAAGCTTTACTGAAATGAGATATGTTGAGATATGATTCTCTAAGTGTCTTTTCGGTACTTTGTGAAACTTCCTTGCCCTGCAATACCCACAACCGATCAAAGTGGTCAAGTAGCTCATGCGCATCCCACTCATTTTACCCACGTGACAAAGAAAATTAAAGAGACCCGTGAAACCCGCGTCATTTTGTTTCAAATATATGCATTAAGCTTCAGAGCGACTCAGTAATATCCTGAAGAACGTTTAACAAGAGGCATGAGCCTCAACCTTCAGGAGGTCTTTTATGTATCGATCCGTATTCCTACCGATCCAGTCTTGATCTCCAAATGTCACAACCTTTGACTTACAGTCGAGATCGAAGGTGATCTCCGTTTATGACGATTGAAAATTCAGTCATACATCATGAATGCACAAAATATTTTCATCAAGTTTACACCATTCCATGCATTTACACAGAAATGTACATGGTCGACAAATTTTGCATGGGTAAATTTCAAATTTGCTGCCCGATGTACCCTATACATGGTCAGGTGATCATTTAACTTGCCTTGGTGTATATGTGTCATCCAGGAAGCGGTATATACGCTATCTGTTTTCTGATCCAGACTTAATTATTTACAGCCCGCCGCCATATACCTGGAATATTGTTCAGTGCAGCAGCTAAACAATATAGGTCAGGAGAATTTAGATTCCCCAAAGGGAGAACCAAAACAAACTGCAACAGAAACAAATTGTTTTGTTTCTAATCCAGGAATACCTATATCACATACTAAAGCCTTAAGAAATCTAAGGTCGGGAACATTATCAAAAACCTGAACAGACATGTTACCTCCAGCATGATCGGATGGCTTCCGGTCAAAGAGGAGATAACTCGTCGCCAGCTCACATTCTTCTACAGACTGATCACTCTACCACCATCAGCTTTATCGCGCCGCTTGTTCACTTCCAGACTTCTTTACTACCTCCAGAGAAAGCCGACTCAGACACTGTACGGATTCTGTCCCTGATGTCTCCCTTCTCCAACTCAACAATCTCGGACACTACCCTCATTGCTTTCATTCCAAGGTCTACCAATACCCAAGCAAGCAATCGTGGAAAAAACTCATCCACAGAACGGAAGTAACCCACAAGTATACAACTGAGTGGAAACAGCGTATAACCTTCGACGATGACTTCTCCAACAATTCAAGTCCTCTCTCCACATGAAGCCTTCACCATGCCTCCCCATGGACCCTAGCCGGAAACTGGACAGCACGTCAAGGGCCTTCCACTTTCTAGCTCAGATGTGGATGGTTGCAGTGCACTCAGTCCAGTGAAACGATCTGTACCCTGTGCAAGCTCCTGTACACGGACCTGCTCCATCATGTTTCCAGCGGATGCCCAGCACTATATGCACCATCTACGACCAATTCTGGAACAACACGCGCTGGATTATTTAATTCCTTGAAGCTACATGTACATCTCCACAACTGTGACGACGACACATTACCGTAGTTGCTCATGGGTCGTCCACAGAGTCGTATTATTGCACTGATG